AAGGAGCTGCTAAAATAATATCATCAACATAGCGATAATAAAAATTGAGATGAATAGGTAATAGACCAATAGCAGTTTCTTCGAAATCCTGCATAACCATATCTGCGACTATTGGTGATAATGGCGATCCCAAATAAAATTAATCTTTTTTATTATATATATATAATAATTAAGTGTAATATAATATATACAGTATTTGTTTAAATAAAATAAAAAACATGGATTAATATTTAGGAAGGTGGAAAGAATTATTAATATTTAACTGAATAAAATTGTCTTTTTATTTACTTTTTTAATAAAATTTTTTGTGAAGACTAGAAATTTATTTTTTAAACAAAAAGATATATTCTTTTTAACTTATTTATTTCTTTAATACACTAACTATCACATATATTTTTTGCCTATTTCTCTATATTATATTACATATCAACATATGCATATACTTCAAAAAATCATTAGTACTGCACGTTAAATGTACATATATAAAGTCCTACAATTTGAAATGCTATTTCGTGAATGATACTAGATTATGTCAATGAATGACTACATGATTGATGACTATACAATTTTTTGCGTACGAATTACAGTGTTTAGCACGCAATTTATACGAAATTGTTGAAATTTTAAATAAATTCCATCGTTTATTTGATACGGTTCGTCAAGCGTGTAAATTATCCTTTTATTACGCTGTGTATTGAAACAGAAACGCTGATGGCGTACGAATAGGTATTAATCTTTGATCACCATAACGATCGAACACGATATAATAATCACGCCCATTAATGCAATGCTTCTTTCCCTGAGCGATATCGTATGGAATGTTTAAAGACGGTGGCTGTATGTTCCGTTTGTCGAACAGCTGATTCTTGGTGGTATACACCAATCGCGGGATCAAAGAATCATTTGATTTCCGTTTCCACTTGCAGGAGAACGTGCGATCGCACCATTTGCCAGTTTTCTTTCGCCGTTTGTAAGACTTCGCCAACCAATTAATTGATATCTCGAGAACGAAAATCACCATCGCAATTATATATCCAGCGATGACCACTTTAAATGTCAAGGATAAATCGGAAAATGACAATCGTCTTTCGCTGGATCGAAGATCCAGCGGACATATCTGCGCAATTGGCAGATTCTTCAGTTTCTCGCGCTTTATTATACCAGATGCCATTAAAGTTATCAATCTGAAACACATTCAATCTTTTATTGAATTGCACTGCTAATAATATTAGATTATTGATAAATGACAATACGATTGATGACTGTATTTTTAGGATACGAATTATAAGCTTAGTACATGATTTATAAAATTTATATAAAATAATATTCTATCTTTTTAAAATTTTATTATCTATTATTATTATTATTATTGTATTATCTAAATTCGAAAAAACTTGAAGAATATATAAGTCTAATTAACCCTCAAACGGCACACTGGTGCGAATTCGTATCAGCAAAATTTTCAAAATATTGGCTTCTTTCTCAAAACAATAACCATTTTTTTATAACTTAAGAATAATTTAACTAAATTTGAGTTGCGCCAATCGCTTTGTTGAGAAATTTTACCCCAAGAAAGTATGGTTTTGAAAGTATTTTGAAGAATATTATCACGGTTAAATAAGTAAATGAAATCACAAAATCCCAATTCGCACCAGTGTGCTGTTTGAGGGTTAACCGTAATTCTCTATTTACTTTTTAAATAAAATGTTAATTCTATCTTTTAATATATATGTATATACACAAAAATTTGTCGCTTACTCTTTATTAAATGGTTTCTCCAAAGTAGAATTTACGGGAAAGGCGAATGCTTTATTGATCACCAAAATCGTATTAGGCATAATAACGTATGTACATCTGTTCCGATGGTGCAGGTGTTGGCGGGTTTTGTTGATATAATTCTCGAATATTAGAGTTTGGAGGTAATAATTCTCCCCAAGGAACAATTTGTCTAGAGATTAATATCATATTTCTTTTTATTTATAAAAGTATGTGCTTGAAATTTTTGACGATAGTACTCACTCTTCTCCACAGCATTAAAAATATCATCAACCGGATACTCGTACGACGTAATATAGTGATCCTTCCATCTTGTAACGTTTAAGAGATTTAAATCCTCAACGTCGTCGAACTGAAAACATTAAAAATAAATTTTAAGCTTTATATTAATTACACTAATTTACAAAAAGTATTTTTTTTAATTACTTTCAACCAGACAAAATGTTTTTTATAGAATTTGATTGAAATGCCGCACGTTAAACACTAACACGTTTCCGAAATAACTGCAGAAGTTTAATGAACCAAAACTTGCTTTTTTACAATATTTCATATTTTTTATATAAAAGATTAATATTATCTTAAAATTCTAATCAGAAGTCATGAGTATGTATTGTTTATCCTCTATAATATGCATTTTTTTAAATTTCGATATGGGTTATTTTTGGTTATTTTTGTATGGGTTATATTAAAAATGTTAGATATATTATTAAATATATTATTAATGCGTTTAATTCAAAGTAATTTTCTGTTGTGCAAACTAGTATTATTTTAACGTTTTATGATCATGATAAAATGATCAATGCTTGCAGCTCTTATTATCAATTTCAAATCGCAATTATTGGACAAGATTATGTAATAACAAATCTGTCAAATTTTCTCTTGAATGACTCTTAAATACGTGTTTGCGAGAAGACTTACTTCAGAAAGCATAAAGTCGATTGTGCGCCCTTTATAAGCAATCCACTGATAACCTTTACGCAATATATCTTTTAAATCGTTAATCGGCAAGGTAAACTGTGGCCTCGTAAGAAACGCAGTAAGATTCGCCGTGTAAAAAGACGTCAATATTAAAATGAATATCCACCACATAGCGAACAGGATTCGCGTCGAGTCTGCAATCAGTGTCAATTCATTTTTCAGTTCAATATTATGTAGTAATAATAATAATACAATAATTGAGGAAATGGGTGGAATAAAGGCCCAATTACAAAATCTTAATTTTGATAAAAATTAAAATAAGTTACTATTTTATTATACAACAAACAGGAACAGTGTATTAAATTTTATATTTATGTAATGTCTTTGAAAAGTTATATGTTATATAATATAATATTTCTCTATTATAATTATAGTATTTAAAAAGTTATTTGCAATTAAAAAAATGCACTTAGCTTTATTTTCCGAATATATTGATCATAGTATTGTAGGAATCAACAGAATATGGAATACACTTTACTTTTACACTTACATATATATATATATATATATATATATATATATACACACACTATTTTTTGTAATTTTTTATTAAATATACCATAAAGAATTATATGCATATGTATATGGGGCATTCCATCCAAAGTGTGCCACTCGAAAACTTTTGGATTTTTGATTTGGCTGAAATTTTGATATATTATAGTACCCATCGCAAGAAGATACCACAATTTTTTCCGAACTTTTTATCAATATAGTCATGAGATATGAATTTTTTTTTAAATTCGCATATTTCAAAATTCGCAATTTTCAAATGCCTATAACTTTGCGAAAAATAATCCAAATAAAATGTTTTTTTTTTTAAATTATGTGTTTTGTTCTCTAGATTTTAAAAAAAGATATCAAGAAAAGTTTCAAAATTGTTTTTTAATTTTTTTAAAATTTAATTATATTAATAATTTAAAAATTATTAATTTTTTAAAATATGACACGTTTAATTAAAAAAAAAATTCTTATAAAAACTTAGATTTATTTGATGATTTTTAAGACTATAATTTAATCGTGGGTAAATTTTTCCTTCTATTTTTTTCGAATTAATTTTTTTTCAATTTTGCATTTTTTTACACGATAAAATATTATATAGATATAAACTCGTGACATTTTTATTTCCTAAAATTTTCGATTTATTCTCAATGTAATAACTTATTTTTTTATATTTACATATTTAAAAAAAAAGTGTTTCCGTGATTATTTTTCATTATTATGAAAAATATAATAAAAATATAATAAAAGGGTGGACAAACGAAAATAATGGGTGGACAATCGTGGACAAACGAATGCAATAATGATTTTATCAAAATTCGCATTTAGGGGTGCCGATATTACTTTTATACTAAAATTATCGTTTTCTTATTATGAATTTTTTTACAATATAATTTTTCATTTTTATAAATTGTTATTATTGTCCAATCTTATTTGTAAGAGTACGGCTACACTTGTGCATACAAGAATTAAGCTTGCATGTACAATTACTAAATTTGATTAGTTTTGCCCGCACAGAAACGCAAAACGTAGTAGGAAAGTCTTATGGGCAAAGCTAATCAAATTTAGTAATTCACAGAGTTGCTCTGTGAAGTTTGTATATGTACGTTTTTTTGGAGGGTGAACAAATGAAAAAACGGGTGGACCAACAGTGGACAAACAGTGAACGAATGCAATAATGATTTTATCAAAATTCGCATTTAGGGGTGCCAACTTCATAGAGCTGCTCTGTGAAGTCGGCATCCCTAAATGCGAATTTTGATAAAATCATTATTGCATTCGTTTGTCCACGATTGTCCACCCATTATTTGCGTTTGTTTACCTTATTTTTATTATATTTTTCATAATAATGAAAAATAATCACTTGGGGGTACTACAATTTTTTTTGTGTATAACTTTTTTTTAGGAGGGTTGGACAAACGAAAATAATGGGTGGACAAACGTGGACAATCAGTGGACAAACGAATGCAATAATGATGTTATCAAAATTTGCATTTAGGAGTGCCGACTTCACAGAGCAGCTCTGTGAAGTTGGCACCCATAAAAGAACACGATAAGTTTAATATAAAAGTAATATCAATCAAACACTTTTTTTTTTAAATAGGTAAATATTAAAAAATAAGTTATTACATTGAGAATAAACCGAAAATTTTAGGAAATGAAAATGTCACGAGTTATATCTATATAATATTTTATCGTGTAAAAAATGCAAAATTGAAAAAAAATTAATTTGAAAAAAAATAGAAGGAAAAATTTGCCCACGATTAAATTAGTCTTAAAAATCATCAAATAAATCTAAGTTTTTATAAGAATTTTTTTTTTAAATTAAACGTGTCATATATATATTTTAAAAAATTAATAATTTTTTACATTAAATTAAAAAAAAATAAAAAAACAATTTTGAAACTTTTCTTAATATATTTTTTTGAAAACTAGAGAAAAAAAACACACAATTAAAAAAAAAACGTTTTATTTGGATTATTTTTCGCAAAGTTATAGGCATTTGAAAATTGCGAATTTTGAAAAAAATTCATATCTCATGACTATGTTGATAAAAAAATTCGAAAAAAATCATGGTAGCTTCTTGCAATGGGTACTATACTTACTATGGGTACTATAACTTACGTTAAGTTAATTTTTTATTCCTTCAACTTTTAACTTAACTTTATTAATTTTGTAAAGCCATTAACTTTAACTTTATTCAGTTAAGAAAAAATATTGAAAACAATAATAAATGATGTAAAGGACTCTTAGTTTAAAACAAATAATAAATTAAAAAGACAAATTAAGAGTCAAGAATTAAAAAATTTTATAATATTTAAATGAAGTCAAAAACATAAAATAAATATTAAATCGTCAAAAAAACGCAAAAAACATAACATGTAAAAACAAAAGAATTAAAAAATAACTTTACGTTATCGCAAAATCGTAGCTCTTCAAATACATAACTTAACTAGTTTCGACTCTTGAATTGAGTCTTCTTCAGAAGTACAATTAGTGCAGTAATAAGAAGCATTGTTAATAACAGAAGAATCCATTCTTAAAGAAAGAAATTTATTAAAACGACTGATCGATCGGTAATAAATCTGTGGAAAAATGATTAAACTTACTATACAACTTAATTAACAAATAGTGTAAAAATTAACAAAAATAATAAATAAGTTTAATTTCAAACCTTAAATGATGGACTCATCTACACACAATTTTTATATCAAGGCTGTTGCATTTGTCAAAATACATATTAACATAATTATAATTAATGAAGACATTAAAAACAAGAAAATTAAAATGAGATAATGACACGTCTGTACTCTGCTGAAATTGACTGTAAACTGAAAAAAGCAGCCGCATAACAATGTCAAACTTTGTTTATCAGAGGCATATACATATCTTGCAGGCCTTCAGTGTCTGTTTGTAAGTTTAAACTATTTTCCTGTCTTTTAATATTAATCATTTCTGACACTATTCGTTTTCTGTAATTAGGTTCTTCATCCAGAATCTCTACCTCATCCCAAAGAAAGTCATGGTCATGCTGCAACCTATGCTCAGTAATCACTGATCGAGTTGTCGTATTACGTCTAATATGATTTCGATGTTCAGAAATCCTGGTTTTTAGTTAATATATTAAAAAATATTAACTTACCCAACCCTGATGATTTCTGATAGGTTGAAATTCTTATTCTCTGTTCTCTGTTCCTTTTATTCTGCGGAGTCCCTCACTGCAGTTATATAAATTTACTTACTTCTTTATTCGAATATTCATTTATAACATCATGAAATTTTTTATTTTTGGTTTCTTCTCTTTTACACAATTAACAATAAAATTTGCTATCTCATCGTCACTACTGCTGCTTTCTATTTCATTTAGAAACAAAAATCGGTTAAACGCCATCACTTCAATCTAACCGCGATTACTCAATAGTGTCAGCAAACTGCACTGTCAAAATTGGCAGTGCAAGAAATTTTGCACTCGTTCAGTTTGCTTTATCTATCCGAATATAAAGTCCGAATATAATGTGCTACTTAAGTAATGTAATGTGACGCTAATCGAACACAACATATGTGTACCATAATATAGTGCAATATTACGAAATACGATGAGTGCAGTGCACCATATAAATATATACCTATCTCATTTTAAGTTCCAAAAGTGTACACTAGCTAGTTTAACCACAAAAAATTCATTTTATACATTCAAATAGAGATCTATTTTTTTAAAACATCTAATTTTTTTTTTACCGATACACATATGGATTTTAATAAAGGTATATTTTCTAAATAAAACAACAATATTTTTTACTGCTTTAATTATTTTTCGATTATCAAATTAATAAATTCAAACTCACAGAATATTTTTCGGTTAAATAGTCTAAGTTGTCTCTTTTCTCAGTAATTATATTTTCGAGAGGTAATTATTAAATTACTCGCATATATCTGAATCTTACATTCTCGTGATTTAGTAATTGTAACAATTATAAAAACACGAACGTAAGAATCGTAATAAGAATCGTGTTATATAAGAGAAACGTAAATCACTCACTTTCGAGCAAGTGAATAAGCAGTTGAATGTAATGTTTTAACTTTGTCGTCCATTTCCAATTTATAGATCTAAATTATCAAATACATCATACGTCGCATGAAACATTCTGATAACCCGGGATCTAAAAGTGGGGATCATTGGAGATTTACAGATCTTGTTGAAATTTATCTCATATATTTTACAAGAATTCAACGTTAGTACTCCATCTGACCGTGACTTACGATGGCAATGTCAAAGAATTTAATTAACTTGTTAGACGATGCCGTGTCTGAGACTCTATCAGGGTTATCCTATACGTATCCGCAACTAGAACATCATGTATCGCACAGAGTTGTACTATCACCAGATGTACGTATACATATAAAAATACGCTTTTATGCTATTGCTTCATTACAGTTAGATGATAGCAGATATGTTTATAACATTCGATGTTTTTCGAATGCTTATTTACAAGAATGCTTTGTAAATAATAAAAAGTGTTCTCTCTCTTCTACTTTTTTAAATTTTTTATTTCTTAAAAAAAAAACAAATTTTACATTCTAATATTTACATTCTAAATACTGAGAGTCCTATTAAATAAATTAATAGGGCTATCAGTATTTAATAATTCAACATATTACGTGTGTATAAAGGTTATAGGTATATTATATAAGAGCATCAATAACAGTGCGCTAATTGGAGCGTATAGATATATTCTCAAATGACTTTTACATATGATTTAGATATATATAATATTTGATTGAACGTTTTGGCTCACTTTGAACCATTTTTAGCAATACATTTGATAATAATTCGTTGTTACATATGTATAGTCCGCCAAATGGTTGGGAAACGTATTTTTCTATAGACATAGAATGAGCATTTACTACTTGCTGGTTGAGAATTGCGTTTGTCTCTCTTTTCGCTGTTTAATCAAGTGACTAAACTAAAGAGTATGATAAAAAGACAACAGAGAAATATATAAATTATAAGTCATATTTGTGTAATGTTAATCATTAAAAACAGCAAACTAAATCGTATGTCAAGATCATTTGAGAATATATTTTGTGAATTGCAATTGCATTCTAATTACTGCACTATTATTGATACTCTCATATTATACCCTGCTTATTATACCTAATATATTGAACTATTATTTTAATACCATTGATGTGGTTATTTAAATTAATATATATCACTGGACCAAATAATTGTTTATATAACTTTGTTATATATAATATACTCTTCTCTAAAATTCTGAATATAATTTATATATATCTACATATACTTTAGCATAGGAATCGTCAAGGTAAAGTGGCCTTGATTTGTGGCGGCGGTAGTGGACACGAACCATTTGCTGCAGGTAAAAGAAATTAATACTGTGTATTAATATTATATATATATTATATATCACAATATTAATTTTATTTATTATTACGCGTGCGCGTACATGCGTACATACATTTGGTTTTCTTAAATTAAGTTAACATTTTAATCAGTATAAATCTCGTTTGTTTTATTTATGTGAAAATAAGCGAGGGGGTAATCACTTAATGTAATCGTGGGACGGAGTCCCTGAAATCATTATAAAATTTATATAAAATTTCGATGTATAATCCGACAATTACAAGAAATAATTGTGTAATATTAGATAAAATCGTTTATTTTACCAAATGACCGCATATATAGTGAGGCAAAATTATTTGTCATCAAATAAAATTATATAAAATTACATGAAATCATATAATCTGTGGAACAATATTTCATATAGTGGTTACCCCCTCGAAAATAAGTATAGTCTTCTTTTTAAGGTAAGATAAAAATTATTGCGAATAATATTTTACTTATATAATTTGTGTTGTTACCAGAATTTAGATGCGTTAAGAGAAGTTTAGATATATATATTTTTTAGATATATGTATAATTATTAATAAAAGCTTAATTTAAGAACGGAAACTTTATATACATGAACATTTTTTGCCGTATGTCTTTTTATAGGATTTGTTGGCAGCGGTATGTTGACAGCTTCCATAGCAGGATCTATTTTTGCAGCACCGCCGTCTATTCATATCACATATGCTCTTCAGTGTATTGCAGAAAATAACAAAGGTCTCTTTACTTTACTTACTTATTATTAAAAAGTATTCTTTTTTTAAGTCACATATATGTATATTAATATCTTTCTTTAGATGGTATTGTGGTTGTGATACCTAATTACACGGGGGATCGTTTGAATTTTGGCATAGCGATTGAGAAGATTCGACAAGCGGACGTTGCGGTAAAACGAAAATCTTCCACATTTCACCCGCAAACAATAATATAAATTAATTGTTTCAAATTTTTAACATATTTGGAATTTATGTATAATTATCTCAATAAAATCAGGTGGAGGAAATAATCGTGGATGATGACTGCAGTATTCCCGTAAATGAACAAAGCGTCGCTGGTAGACGCGGACTGGTGGGCATGCTGTTCGTTATAAAAATTGCAGGTGCTTTCGCAGAAAAGAGTTTCCCTCTGTGTAAAGTAGCAGAAATTGCACGATGTGTTTCACAAAACACTGCAACCTATGGAATCGGATTATCCGCGTGCGCAATACCAGGTATGAAACAATTACGATTATGTAATAATAAATTACTGTTATATTATACATATACATTCAAGCCGCGCGTGCACGCGCGCCATAATCACGATAATTACTCGTATACAGGGATTGACAAGATTGACGATTAATAAATAAATATTTAGTCTTAATTGGGCTTTTCAATAAATGACGAATAAGAATTTATTTGTTATTCGGTCATTTGTGAATAATAAATATAATAATTTGTTCGTTATTCAATCCATTTTTAATAAGAAATAAAAATTTATTATTCAAAACATGGCAAATAATAATTAAAATTAAATATAATAGACATATTAATAACATAGTATATGAGAACATAAAAATATATCTGCAAATAATAGAAGTAATGTAAATCTTGGACTGAGCATGAATATTAATCGTCTAATGTCTCTCTCAGGAGACACGCAATGGCACCCATTAGAATTTATTTCGCTTTACCATGACCCAATTGATTACTTAAGTCATTTCCAGTCCGTTTTATGTGTCTTAAAAATTAATAAGTTATTTACAAATAACTTATTAATAAATTTTTTGAGATTTTTTCTGTGTAATAACTTTTATTAATATTTACTTTATTAACGATTAAGGAATATGAAGGGACTTGGAACGAATTAATTATTATCAATTTATCCAATATAGAACGATTCGCTCTACATTCGACATAGTTCTATCATATATTTACAGTTTTTATAGACATTCCGTAGTTCTGTCATGTATTCTGAAGACACTTTCATCCAACAACGATATTTAATAATAAAACGATATTTAATATCATTAATATTCATAATTTTAATTATTAATCAAGAGTAGCTGAATAACAAGTAAATTTTTATTCACCACTCACAAGTACTTGAATAACGAATAAATTTTTATTCGCCATTCACAAGTGGTCGAATAACGAATAAATTTTTATTCGTCATTCACAAGTGGTCGAATAACGAATAAACTTTTATTGTTTTAGATTTTGTTATTTAAATAAATAATTATTGAATAATACTCATCCCTCATATGTATATACATGCGCTGTGTTATGCACGGCCAAGCACTTCTACATGTACGCGGTTGTTCCATTCTTCCATCCGATGGACGAATAGAAAGATGGGTCAGAATCCAGACAATCTTTATTCCTTCATTATTGTTATCCAGTCACTTTTTTCTAGATATACGAGTATGATATATCTATTATTCAAATATTAAATCTTATAGAACCGTACATGTGAATTGAATTTGTATTACGTATGTAGTCTCTTAAATCGCGCCCCGAACAATTTTTCGGTCTTGAAACGCCACTCTACGAATATCTATTATTATCGGATATCAGATATTTTTTAAATGTCACATTCTTTTTGGATATCCGATATTCGATCAGATATCTGGAATATTTTAGCAAGGATATTTTTTCTTTGTTAAAAGAGGTTTAAAAAAAAAAGAAAGGAAAGCAAGGAAAAAATAGCAATAATAATTTTCTTTATCTTCTTAACGTGAAAAGAAAAGAGGAAAGATGAACTGTATGTAAGGAGTTTAGCTGAAAAGAAGATAATTTTACATTAAGGACGTTCACCGGCTAATCGATTTCTATACAAAATGCTTCAAATTTTAACTACATGATATTAATATCATTATCGATATATCCTCCAAAATTCAAAAAATTTAGCGGTACCGAATTCGAGTTATTAATTTTCAAAGTTGCAGCTTTTAACATGTAAGGTATAGTCCAAGCGTGCGCTCAAGTGACATTTCAATTCATAGCGACTGTGATATCTATAGGATTGTTCTAAAAAATTAGGATATGATGCAGGACGATGCTAGAAATAACATAAAAAAAAACGGGGATCCGTAGCGGTGCCGTTTTTGAGTTGTCGAAGTTCGAAGTGGTGTATCCGACAGCACTTGAAGTAAGTCGCCGCATGGAAGGAGAGCCGTTGCTATGAGACGGGTCTCCGCTTTTTTCAACAGGCTAGTGTGCGTGTATACATACAAGGCATCGAACCCCGTTTGCTTGTGCGTGAGTACACTCAGCAGAAAAAGTATTGGCATGGGAAGCGGAGTGGGGAGAGACATGCGCTATGCACCGAGAAGCGAGCGAGCAGTAAACTTTTGGTTACGATTGTAGCCGGTGAACGTCCTTAATTACAAAATTCTTGATTATATTTTATCCTCATAAAAAATTTATTAAAATTGATCCAATAAAACAATTTTATTCCTATAATGATTTAGATTTTATAAAAGGATCATGAATATGAGTTACAAAATTATTATTATATAGAATTCATTTTTTTGTAACACAATGAATATGTACATTGAAACAATCTGCTATGGATTTATTATATGATAACAAAAAACATTTTCTTTAATACATATCTACAATGAATTCGATTATCGAGCTAATGTACAGACTTTAATAAAACAATGCGTTTATATTGTATGATGAATGTATTTTATTACTTCTATAAAATTTTATAATACGACACATATGTAATGAATGAATTTATTGAATCTATGACCACGTACGATTCACTGATAGAACGAATTTTTTCATCAATTTAATTAAATGTTACATTGTGTGTATGAGTTATGGTACATTCAAGTACAGTAAATTATCTAATAAACAGTGATTTGTTATATTATTAAATCCAGTTATTAGCTAAAAATAATTCTCAATGTAATATTTATAATATATTTATTAAAAAGAATAAAAGTTCATTGTATATCAATGAATTTCAAGTCAATAAATGTCATTTATTGATACTACGAACAAGATTTTTTTCAGTGTATGCTTAATCTGACAATGAGATATTAAATGTAGGTCAAGGTCTCATGTTCGAGCTTGCACAGGATGAGATAGAGTGTGGAATGGGAGTGCACGGAGAAGCAGGATATGAGAAAATTAAGATCAGGACTGCATCTGAACTGGTGATGTTAATGCTAAAGCGCATTTGTGAGGCTTTATCTTTGTCCGCTAATGACTCGGTCGCGGTTATAGTCAATAATTTCGGTGCTTTAAGTCAATTGGAACAAGGAATAATCGTCTATGAGGTTGTAAATCAGCTTCGTGAGTACTTATTTGTTGTTTTTTCTTCTTTTATATAATATATATATAATTTGTATATATACATATGAATATAATATGAGCCACTTACATATGATATGATAAATAAATCATATCCGTTCATTTCAGTAAAAAATGATATATTGTAAATATGAGTTTTTCAGTCTCTCTCTCCATATCGATTGTTTACTGCAAATGGATTGATTAAAATGAGACGGGGTTAGATGGTCACTGTTTATTAATCAATTAAAAAATTTTTAGTTCGACACATTTTTAGAAAATATATTCTTACAAATACTTATTATAATTATATTATATTTTATGTAAATATACAGGGTGTCCCAAAATTCATCTGACGGATTTCGTGGACAGATAGAGCGGACTAAATTGAGATGGAAAGTCCTGTAACATTTTACGATTTTTGTAAAGTTAACGAGATATTAATGTCTAAAGATTACCGAATACATGTATCCGCCCGGCCTACTATTGCCGTGCCCAGGCCCGGATTAAGGGGGGGGCCTAGGGGGGGACTATAACCCCAGGCCCCACGGAAATAGGAGCCCCCGTTACATTTAGGAAAAAGTTTTGATTAAAATTAAAATTAAAATTATTTGAAATTATTTTTAATCTTAAAAAAAATTAGTTTTTATTCCATTAATATATAGTAGATGCTGTTCCATATTTTGCAGAAAGTTTTTTCAAAATACCTATTTGATCACTTATCGGTACTTAACTTCAGCGGTCGACTGAGATGCTACATCTCCACCATGCCAATAAGACATTGACATGAATCTTTAATATTTGATTTATTATTTTTTGTCATTATTTTAAGCTTCAAGACTTATAATTATAAAACTATACAATTCATAAAGATTGAAAAGAAGGGCCCCCTAAAGTTAAATAGCCCCGGGTTCCTCAACTCTTTACTGTGCTTAATTTATTAATAAAACTCAAGCAGTAATTTTGCATGAAAAATTTTTTTATTAAACAATTATATAATTTCCATCGTTTTCTATAATCTTTTTAAAATCTATCTTTTTTATCTATCTTCCTTTTCTTTTTTATCTTTTTTATGTACCTTTTTTCTTTTTTTTTTATAACACACGAATGCCTTGATCATAAAACTCGGTTTTACGTTAAAGAAGAAAAAAATGTGATTTTTAATATCAGAGCGTGGATGGCCGAAATCACCACGTCCAAATCATTTCTTTACGCTCGAATTGCTAGTGCACGTCCTGATATCTTGAACATTTTTTATTGTATTTCCAACTGTTACACCCTTCCAAAACTCATAAAGCATAAATGTTGTAAATATGTAACTTTTCTTCACTCATTTTCAAACACTTTTCTTGATGTAAATTCAATCAAAATACTTTTGTCTTTTGCTCGAATGGTAATTTAAATATCTATTTCCTATGATTTTATAATACGTCCACATAACAATAGTTGGCGCTGATATATAATGCTCCAAATGACATCTATTAGAAATAAGCACAAACTTTTGTACTTACATAATACTATTGGCGTTTTTAATCCGACCGAGTTTGCACTAATATGAGTTGAATTAATGACGTTTTGTGTTCTCCTATTGGTAGAGCATGTAAAGTCTATCAATAACAAAGTATTTTCCAACTCAAGTTGGTGCAAACTCGAAATTCGAGCCAAAAACGCTATATAATTAATATTATTTTTGAAAATATAGAACTGACTTAAGGGAGCATATACGTTTGGAGCCTCAAAAAAGGCATTTTTCACGAATTTTTTTTAGAACCAAGAGATAAATTATAAAAATAGGACTTTTTGCATAACAAAGTACACCTTTTGTAATTCTCATACAAATTTTTTTAAAGTAAATTTGTTGGAAAATCTCCCCATTTCACTGTCATGTAGTTAGTCATGTACGCCACGCATGATTCCGCGGTTACAATGATTTCTCATTACCCGTTTATCTAAAACACAAAAATCAAACGGCATCTTAAAGAAGAGTAAATTTCCTTGTCGTTGTCGTATCCAATTTTTAAAATTTGCATTTTAAACAAAATGGTGAACTTTTAAAGTCAAAGTGCCGATTTTCGACAAAAAATTTTGTTTGTTTAAAAAAATAATAAAAAGAATTCAAATTTTAAAAATCAGATACGACAACGACAAACAAATTTTATAAACTTTCAGTAAGAAAAAAGACAAATCGGTGGATCCGTCTTCAAGTTATCATTGTCACCGACTTTAAAAACATGATTTTGAGAAAAATGCATTTAAAGTTTTTAAACAATTTTACTCTATTAAAGTAAAACTGAATTTATTCAACTTATACGTCATCGTCAATTCCTGGACCATATAGGGAACTTTCCTGCTCAAAATTTGCCTCCATTTGATAATTTTTAGTGAAGCGGCGACTTATAAGGGCTTTCCTTGTTATATGTATAAGGATTCGACTCTCTTCTTCTACCGGCGCGGCGCGCCGCTTTAGAATAGGCAAGCGCACGCCTATGCACTGCCTGACAAAATGTGTTGTAACTTCTTTACTTTTGGAATTTTAAAAAACGGTTTTAGGATAATATTCTTAAAGGTTTAAACTGACGAAAAATGCATTAAAAAAATCGATTTTTTGAAACCGACAAACGTATATGTTCCCCATGGCCAGAGACATTACCGCGTCTCCTGATTAACGACTTTTCTTGTTTTTGCTGAAATAATTAGCACATTTTTCCTCTGTTAATTCAACATTTTTAATTTATTATTAGTCTACATTTATGATTGTTATGTTGGTTTTTTTTAATGCAGAAAAGGCAAGTATACAGCCTGTTCGCGTCTACTCCGGTGTTTTAATGACATCCTTAAATAGTGTCGGGATACATATAAGTTTGCTAAAATTAACCGAAAACCATGGGAATGTATTTATCGATTGCCTTGACGAAAAAACGACGGCACCATGTTGGCCAGGCTGCACTTATAGCATTCCTTCGATTTTAACTCCATTAAACACTCTATTAAAAGATGTGAAGAAAGAAGAAGTAGAGAAGATAGGAATATTGTTAAATATGAGCGATCAATGCCTGATTAAATTATGTTTGAAAAACGCATGTGTCGCTATTATCGAGAAAGAGGCGTATCTTAATGAGCTAGATCGTGGTTGCGGCGACGGAGATTGCGGATTGACATTAAAACGATTTGCCAATGGTACGCATATACATATATAATAAATTTCGATGTATGTGTGTGTGCACAGAGTGAGTTATTTTAAGTTATACACTGAAATATCTCGAAAAATATAAAAGATTTTTGTATTATTTTAAACAAAAGTTGCTTAGGGTATAACATAGGCAAACAATAAGCTAGAATGTAATAATTCACTCTGTTACACTGTGTCTAACTCTTAGAAAGCACCCTTAGTTATTAGGGGGAAAGAAAGTGTAGTGGTTTTGGTTGACTAAAGAGACATCCTTAAAGTCAGGTCAAAAATTTTTTAAATAAAAATCCCAATTTTTTATTTTATGTTTGTATAGCTGATATCAAGACTTTTTCGAAATTCTATAATAATAAAATATTTTTTTATTAAGTATTTTAGAAGTTGAAGCTGAATTTGACTCCATGATAGCTTATCTGAACGTATAGAATAGAAAATGACACCAATTGTAACAATTACTTGATAATTGACAATTACGTGATTAATATTAACGTGCTGAAACAGTTTCCAGCTTTGATTTGTTAACTTTCAAACCCTATAACTTGTAAAGTGCTAAATGAAAAAATATATTATTATAGTGGTTTGAAAAGATCTTAACGTTAACTATATGAACATGACATAAAAATTTAAGATTTCCATTAAAAAAATTTTTGGTAATCTTGATCTGACTTTAAGGACATTTTTACTAGGTCAACCAAATTTATCACTTTCTTTACCTCTAATAACTGAGCAACTTTTGTTTAAAACATTTTTTCTATATCTTTTTTTTTTTTTGAGATACTTCAGTGTATCATGTAAAATGACCCATTCTGTACACGCGCGCGCGTGTATATACACACACTATATATATATATATATCTTATAATTTTTAACAAGAGTTTACTAACTCTCCTTCTCTCTTTCTTTACATTCTATAGGTATTTTAAGTAATTTAGAAAATTTATCCTTGTCGCATCCAGCAACGTTATTGTTGGAAATAGCAAACATCGCGGAAGAATGTATGGGCGGAACTTCTGGAGCTCTATATTGTTTATTTTTTACGACTGGTTCGAAAATATTGGCATCATTCAGGCAAGAGAAGGATATGCGAAGCATTTGGTTTTGTGCATTTCGCAGCGGATTAAATTGTTTAGAGAAATACGGAAGAGCGAAAGTTGGCGACAGGACTATGGTTTGCACTTATGCATTATAATTATTAAAATATATATCATTATTAGTGTATATTACAATATTATTAAAGACACTATTATAAATGAACAGAAAAAATTTCATAATATTAAAATCTGTTCGTCATGTTACTACTTGTTGCAAAAAATTAAATTTATTGTGGAATAGACATAGGGCTTGTATTAAAAATATAAGAGAATTTTTAATTAATATTTTTGTCAATCAATATCTTTAGATTGATACAATGTACGCGGTGTGTACGACGTATGAAAAATTGTTAAAGGAGTATTCTAGTGATTTTTACGAGAAAATAACCACAGCAGCATGGGAAGGATGTTATTCTACGAGAAATATGAAACCAAAGTGAGTAGATATGAATGTTGCAATATAAAAGACATCCATGTACTTTAATATTTAAAGTACAATAAATATATGAATATATATAATATTTACTTACAAATTATAAAATAAGTTAAGAGCCAATGCTAGTTTTTAATATTGCTAATATTTACTGATTTTCGAGATTTAAAGTATATAGTATACGAGGGTGGATCAAATATAAACGAGAATTAAAAAAAAATTTTTTTATATGAAATAAAAATACAAAATATTTTTTTTTGCGTAACTTTCTGTTTTTGAAACGCATTTTACCCATCTAACTGGAAGATTTATTTTTTATGTCGTCATTGTTGGCATCTTTTTTTCCAATGCCTCTTTCAGGAGTCCAAACGTGTGAAAGTCTCCTTCTGTCTCGATCCAAAAGCCATCGGCAGATATCAAGACGAACATTTTTGTGCTGCTTCGTGAGAAGATGTGGGACTCAATGAACTGATACCTTTCTGTATCATTTGAAATAATTTTTTGGGTACTGCCATAATAACTGTTTCTAAGACGAGCAGCAATTTCGGCAATTGTAATACGTTAGTCGGTCTCCACGAATCGCACGAATATCGTTTTTCGTTGAACTTGTTCTGGGACGGCGCAGCAATTTTCGATTTTTCGATTTTTTTTCGTTTTCTAGAGAAAGTCTTGTGCCAAAAGAACACACGGTGGAGTTGTGAAAGGATTGATTTCCCGAATTATTGCACGGCATAATCTACGGAAAATTTCAGCAGGCCGAATCCCCTCCTTCGTCAGATTTAATTATGATCAGTTGCGCGCACAACGAACGAAAATAAACCTTTTTCTCACTCATCTTGTTGCAGACTGCCGTACTGACCCGAGGACGTTCTCAGATTAGAAATCCCCTCCTAATATCCCCACTAAAACACCTTAACGTTATATCATCCTATTTTATCTTCTCTAGACTTCAGAGCAAAATTTTCGTTTGTATTTGATTCATCTTTGTGATTATAATAAAGTTTTATCTCAAAACTATGGCCTACTCAATAATTAATCGTATGCATAAAAACAAATCTTACATTATATTTATACATGTCGAATATTTAAACAGATTTAAAAATTAAATGTCTTGTAAATTTCCAGCTACTAACATTGAGAAGGTCCTAGTTTTAGATGAAACGTTTGTTATATAATTATGTACTTAGCCAAGGATTAGGTACAAGCGAATGAGAAACGCGCGTCGACCATGGCCGTGTTCGGAAATGCACTGCCAGTACTGAAAATCTATAGTCCACGTTACGTATACTATAGATTTTCAGTACTGGCAGTGCATTTCCGAACACAGCCCATGAGTGCTACATAGATCCAGAGCGCTCATTCGTTAATTTTAATCTGCCTTCTATGCAAAAATTATATTGTCAGATGCAATTTTGCAAAAGGAAAGTTTTGGTAAAACTGCAGAAAATGGGAGCAACCCTCGATGACCTTGATCTTAACATATGTTGTCAAGGTCTATGATCCTCTGATGAGTGACTCTCAACAAGTTTTATCCGTCAGTCATCCTTCGTTAAAAAGTTATTAACAAAAAAAGTTTGAAAAATAAATATACATATCGACTATATTTTATTCATGAAAGTAATGGAGTGGACCACGTTTCGCGTAGAAAGTCGAAATAACCCACGTGTGGCAGTGCAATTATAATTACATACATTACATAGTATATGAGTTTATTTTAGTTTTTTATTAATTGCATGTATGGGTTTATTTTATTATTCTTCCTTATTGGAGAAGGTAACTGTTATAGAATGTATACTCATTATAAACCCCTAATACTTTTATTTTTAAAGCAGAGAATTCTCGTGTTATAACAGTTAAATTTTTTCCACGTGAAGCGAGAGCTACGTCACATCAAAATATGGATTAGGTTAGGTTACTTTTTACAGTAGTGGAACCCTCCCCCGCAGGGCATTCATGCGAAGCGACTCTCACCCCACCTCTCATCTTGCGAAAGAGCTCACACTTCCATGTTGCTTATTGTAAATGTATAGGCCGTAGCACACCTTTAATTTGTGACGCATAAAAGAGAATCAACAAATTATAATCTTTCTTTCAATTGTGAGGACACTCGAGCGAGCCGGACGTGCTTCGCCCCGTCTCGAGTTATATTGCGCCTCGACCAATATTTTTGAAAAGTGTTGCCGACTTCGACTGCGTGCCTTTCATTTCTTATCACGAGAGTCCCCTCATTCGTCTCGGCGCGTGGCCGTGCGGTGCAGAGAACGGGCGTCGTAGCCACAGGCGTCCAGTGCTTGAGGGGACGCGCCATTTTATTCGTTATTGCATCATTCACTTATACCCGTGTTTGCCCGGTTTCGAGGCGGCCGGTGCTTTTGAGTTTACAATTCGATTTATCAATATTTTTCGCGGATCTAGTTTCAGTCTGGTTAGCTGCCTGGTCAATAATTGGAAGAAGAAGAAGAAGATAATCTTTCTTTTCTTCCTCACGGAAGAGAAGCATTGGTTGATTCTCTTATGCGTTATGCAAAAGTGTATGCTGCAGTCATATGCGTGAATACAGTAGGTTCCATCCCCTCTGCGGGAGGGCAGGCTCCACTACAGAAATAAACTACTTAAAAATAACCTAACCCAACCCATTTTTTGATGTGTGGTAGCTATCGTTTCACATGGAAAGTCGAAAACCATGTGAACAGTACAATTATAGAAGTCATGCGCCTCTTTGCAGGGGGGAGAGGAGGTGAGAGTTACTTCACGTAGAAAGTTTAACGTTTCTAAACAGGAGGAGGTCTAGATTAGTACTTATTATACATGTATAGCAGAAATAATATGTTAGTTTTGAAACTTTTTTTGTTCATAACTTTTTAACAAAAGACGATCGACGGATAAAACTTGTTGGGGGTCACTCAGAGTCATGACTTTGACAATATACGTCAAGGTCAAGATCATCGGGGGTTGCTCTCCTTTTCTGCAGTTTTACTAAATTAGAAAAATTTAATTTGAAATGATTTAAATTTTCTATCAAATATTTTTAAGTTAATCGCTTTTCCCTGTTAAATTTTTTGTAAATATTTAAAATGTAACGATAAAAATGATACATTTGTTTACAGAGCGGGACGAGCTAGTTATATAAAACAAGCTCAGTATTTAAAGGAAATGGATGCTGGAGCTTTTGCCGCAGCAGTATGGATTACTGCTATTGTACAGACAATTACGAATTTCATAGAATAACATATTTGTTATCTTCCTTTTTTTTGATAACTTATTAACATTATTATTATAAGTAAAAGATATAAAATTTAATATTAAATAACACGTCTATTAGAAAACGGAATAAAGAATTATAATTATATTAACTATTTCTTCTACATAATATATAAATAAAAATAGTTGCGTTTATATATTTATAAACAGAATAAAAGTACACTTTTTAATATATGCTTTTCACAAATACATAAATATTTTACGAGTATAACTTTGGAATATCAAACTTAATATAAAATAACTTAGGTTGCATTATTATTTGGCAGTATTTTGCCGATTAATCGGATTATGTTTTTTTTGCACCATCCATCAAATATAGACAGACTAACTTTAATGTTTTACTTTACTTTACACGATAATATAAATAAGTAATATTATTTGTATATATGTTTCACAAGATTATCCAAAGAGGTTGGTCACAAAATTGTTAAATCCGTTACTGATAGACGAGAAGATACCGTTATTGGCATCAGCCGCGGTATTAACTCCTGATTGAGGTCGATAATGTAATGTATGGTCGCGGTGTGGATAAGGCCTTCCGCCGATGTTTCCATTATATAAAACAGACCCATTTTCATCGTCGTATTGTCTCTGTTCCAAGTATAATGAATTTTAATAACATATTAAAATGTAAGGATAATTGAAACGTATAAAGTATCAAATATTAGCAATAGATTTTTTGGGATTATTTTATAGAATAATCCTCCTCTTTTTCTAAATATAACAAATAAAAAGTATGTACATATATATATATATATTCAACGTAAATGAATAAAAAAATAGTCAATAAAAATACACGAATAAAAAATGCACGAATGTGGATCTTCCGCACTAATTGATAACATTACTTACTTTTACTGAGTAAAGAGTAACATTAAGAAGCGTCGGATGTTGTTCGATTACTACAAATTCAATCTCACGAGGTATATATCCGTTCGAAAATACCTGACAAAAACATATATATATATAAAATATCAGATTTAACATGATACAATGTGAGTAAACAGCGAGTGTCTAATAAGTTTCTTATTTTATCATATTTTATCATATAATATTTTGGCATTCTAATAAGTACGTAAGGCAATATAATGAGAGAATAGTTGTACAGACAAATTATTAACTTATGTCTCTCAGTTTTTGAACATGGCCGGAGATACTACCGCGTCTCCTGATCATTACATTTCGTAACGTACCTCTAATTTATAAACACCAGGTAAAAGAATTCTCCAAAATTCACCATATTTCGTTGTTGAAAAACTAACATCTCGTGATTTCACTTTAATGGAAGCTCTTTCGATGGGATTACCATTGTCATCGATAACAAAACCATGAACACCTCTGTGAGCCTCCGCCAAAAATTTGATTAAAGACTAAAAAAAAAAGATAATAAAAACATATTATTTCTATAAAAAAGAATATATATCGAACATGCATTTTAACGCAAAACAGATACATTCTAAAAAATAGCCCAAGCAATCGATGTCGTATGGACGTCCAAATCAGATCTCGTAAATGTCTATCGTACATATAATTCCGGACAGCACGGATAATTTGGAAATTATTCATCTTTTCTTATCTATAAGTTGTTGAAAACAAAGAGAAGGACACCGAACAGTTATTGAAATTCAAGATAAAAGTATATAAAGTTGATAGTTCTCGGTCCTCTTCTCTCTCTCTCTGTGCGTCTCTTTTTCTCTTTTATTAATTGTAAACTGTATACGATCTTTATTTTCCACTACTTTATAAATCTACTCACCGCTCGATTTTCCGCCCAGTAATGTGGTAGATCCGCGGCTGGGGGATATTTGCAGCACGAAAGTTCCAAGGTGATCTCCATACAGCCGTTCCATACGTAGTTGAAATCTTGCATACCACCGGTAAGCGGATACCATTCGGCACCATTAGTAATTCCACGTTTAAATGCGGGCTGAGACGGAGAGCAGGGTAATCCCTGATACATAGATCCGTGGTTTCGAGAATACGTCAACGATAAATGTTGAAATACATCGTCATCTGGTGAGACGCTCGGCGTTGACGTGAAACTCTGAAACACTATTCTCTCTATATCATCTTGTTACTGTTTAAACATTGGATAAACTATATATCCAATGTAGATAGAAAATACGGAGATGATTTGTGCAATCTGCAAATTGTCTTGGAAAAAAAATGTCCACTAGACATTCTTTTTAAATCTTTGGCTCTGATTTCTCATTGAGAATGTCGAGGCATCTATAATATTATCATCTTTTTTTCTTTCTTTTTTTATTCTTTTTGTTCAGAGCAAAATTGTACATTGTATGCGATTCATGCCATGTCTAATTGTGCATTCAAATATTTCATTTTCATACGTTTGCTAATACAGTTAAAAAACAATCATCTTCTTAACATAATTTTCATAAAAGAAGTAAACTTTATCATTTTTTTACCTTTTTTTCAATATTACATTTGAGTCAATCAAAAGTAATCGTACTTCTGAAATGTTTCTTACGTTTTGCAAGTAAATGATAAAGTAAATAAAGTTGCTTATATTAACAACAAAAGATAATCATACATGTTGCACAATACCTGCACATAGTGGCGCCGATCGACATATTCCTGATGGCATGAAAGTTTACATAATATAATGATAACTTCAGAGCCGTATGCAGCTATATATATAGTCATAGCTGTCTATAATCTGTCTGTTAATTGCAGTTGTTTAATATACAAATGAAACAAATTTGGAATCGAGCCAGTCAAAACGCTGGAGGGATTGCATCCGAAAAATAATGCTGTTCTATCCTTTTCCTGTTTTTGTCTTTGTTCGTTTTTCTTTCAGAATCGTATCTCGCAAAGAGGACGATCGTGATACGACAGAGCGAAGTGTTACGACTCTGTGCGATTCCGTGGCTTGGAGTCGGATCGAGGACGATCGAACGAGCCACGCTGCCCGCCTTTTAACGATTTTAGCTCCGCGTGCGAAACGGTAACTGAACCAAGGTGATTTAACTTACGCGAATTTGGGGTATTGTCGAAGGGATAACTGGCCACGAGAGCACCACCGTGCAGACTGCCCGAAAGCACGAACTGAATCTTCGAAACCCATTCTTTAACAGCTTCGGTCTCTGGCTGGCTCTTTTTATTGTTTTGCTTAAAATAGTCCGGGAAATTACGGTTTAGGTCAAAGCCGCGCGCGTTATACCTGTATAATCATACATCGAATCGTAAAGATGAGAATTAGAAACTATAATTTATTTTGCGCAAAGCGATTAAAAGATTACGGATTATATCGCAAAGCGTATTTTAACGCTTCAAGATATATTTCCTTTAGCAAAACAGAAATATTTAACAACGTATTTGTCAGCGTTCTTAATGATTATTTATTTCTATTTGGTCTATGGCTATTTTGTGAAACATTAAGCGCAAACCTTTCAATTTTATGTTTAAATCGAAAGTAAGTCCCTTTGAAAGAAATATCAAAAAAGATTGTCATTCAACGTGTTCAATGTTAGGCAATTAGGTTTGAACTAAAAATTTCATCGTCGGTTAGCACAACCTGACCTGATTGAAAAAATAGAAATGGTCAAAAAATAAGTTAAAAAAATATAAATCGTTTAAATATTAATATCTAACCTGCCTTGACCACCATCACAGCGTCCCTCTTTAGAAACTTCGAAGCCGTCAGGATTCATTGACGGTAAAATATGAATTCTTGTATTGTCTAATAACCATGTAATATATGCGTCTAATCCGTACGATGTCACAAGAAACTAGAAGAAAAAAAACGAAAAAAGAGATATAGCTATTTGTAAGAAACATATATGTGTGCCACTTGTCAAATGCAAATAAATTATTAATAATAATATTATTATTCATATTAATTTAATGTCCGTCAGTTAATCGATATTAATTTATAATTAGAGATTATTGTCATTTGCAATTATTTGACTAGATAAAATCTTTTATCCGAATAAATCTTTTTTCATAAAGCAATGTATACGCGGTGAACCAAATTGTAAGAGTGTAATATACGCTGCGCATGTATTATTCATCATTTCAAGTAATGTAATATGGAAATTTCAATGCTTGATATAATTACGTACGTGAATAAGATGTAGCATTAATTCGCGTCCCACAGCTTCGTTTCCATGTATGTTAGCGATATACTTTACATCAGGTTTTCCGATCATGTGCTCGTAAGGTGAGGATGAAACGACCATTACCCATAAATCTCGACCTGTTGTATGAATAACACTTGATTATACACATATATTTTAAAATATAAAAAATATATTTTACTTTTCTACTTTAATATTGTTAAATATATGCTTGAACGTTAAAATGTGTGAATAAAACACAAATGATGATATAAACGTTCTCTTTTAAAATTTACTATTTTAATGATGATCTCAATTAGGTATTGTAAGAAGATAATGTACCTTTCACCGACTTTCCTATCGAATATAGCGCGGTGAGATTTTGAAATCGAAGGGACGTCGCGCGAAGAAAGCGGCTCATCTGTTCATAATTGTGGTACTTGAACTCGATGTTATACGGTTCCTCATACATTAAGAAGCGTGGATGATATAAACGAGGTACATCTCCTTTGGTATGGAATTGCATTCCACGAATATTCCCGTAAATGATGACAAGAAAAAGTAGTGTGCGATACATTCTGCAACAAGATTATTAAATATATGATATAAATACTGAGAGATATACTTGTAAATAGAAATTCTTTAAAGTTAAAAATTTCTTTCATTCTCTGTAAATGAATAAAGTCTAAGTAACTAATAATAAATATAAATATGTAATAATCAAAGAAAAAGAAAGAAAGAAAGAGAAAGAGTATAGGACATAATATAAAAATTTGTCAAAAATTCTTATAAATACTCTATACATATATTATATAAGTTGTACAAAGAGCATGAGATGTGTATACTTAATATTTTATACATTTTCAATAAAAATATTGTATGCGTACAATG